TATATAAAAACGAGGCGACGTCACCTCAGCGATGTCGCCCCGCTTGGGGAGAAGTGAGAGGCGACGTCGCCAAATTATATATATATATATATATATATATATAAAGGCGACGTCACCTTGTTTTTCTCAGCGACGTCGCACATTTTTTTAAAACTTTTATATATAAATATATAAATAAATAGATATATGAATAAAATATTATATATATATATATATATATATATATAACGGTATACCGTTCGGTATACCGTACCGTACCAAGAAAATATTGAAACTTCGATACGGTACGATATTTCAATCCTTGATATGGACAAATCATTTTTCTTTCAGACTAGCTTGAAGTGGTTGGGCCTGTAACAGTGGTCTTTTCTTCTTTTATGCAAAAAAGAAAAAGAAAAACAACTCTGTAACCTTAAAATTTGATCACAGAAGATGCCATGGGCATCTGAATCAATTGTCTTATGTCCATGTTTACTTGCCACATAGGTTCTAATTTGTCGATTATCTTATGCACACCTAATAATTTAATCACATATTTGAAGTTCTTTAGCTTCATTTTAGGACCCCAGTCATCTATTATAATAGTCGGCTGCTGCACAACCATGTTCCTGAGAAACCTTTTAATACAGGATGGTACTACATTCTCTATTGGTGACCGTAAAAGAATCTTGAAAGATTCGACTCATAGGAGACCTATTGTGTATCTATGAAGTTCTTGCCAATCGTTCTATTTTATTGCTGGATACGAAGAACATTATTTTTTTAGGACTAAAATGCTTAATGTTATGCAGATGTGGAAGCTGAAGTTCCATGCTATCACGGGAAAAGCTCTTCTGCTACATTTCCTTGTCGATCCTGTAGGCACTGAGTTGATGTAAGACAGACTACATTGTTATTTCAGGTACTGATCAGATCAGGTAAGTATTCTGTGAAACATATTACCGTGTGTTCGGTAATTGTTTCCCTCCAAGTGTAAATCTCAATGTTCTGTATATAAATTTGAATCCTTTCTTCTTTCCCTGCATCTGTCTCATTTGCATGCCAATAACATTTAAGTTTTACAAACAATGAACTTGCCTTCATTTTTTCTTTTTAATTTCAGGCATTGATTTAAATATGCTGTGTTTTATGTTGACATCATATGCCAAAAATAGACATACTGGAAATGAAACATAGTAATGCTTCCCCACTCCGCTGTCCATACAATTAAGCTGAGTGCTCTAGAGAGAAAGATGAGAAGCAAAAAGGTTAATAAGTTGGGGAAATAAGAGTTCACGTATTTCACTGTTGAGTGTATATTATGATGAGCTGCTATTTATTCGGTGAATATCTCCTCGGCTTGCCACAGTGACGATCATGTAAGGTGGAAGTACCATTGTTTAAAACTTGTGCATGGCATGTCATACCTCATTTGGTAATTATTTCCCTGTAAGTGTAAATCGTAATGTTCCGTATGTTAATTGAATCCTTTCTTCTTATCCTGCAACTGCATTATTTGCATGCCAAGAAACATTATGCATAACAAATAACTTGCCTTCTGCTCTGTTTTTATTTGAGGCACTGATTTGGAGATGCTATGTTTTATGTCGACATCATATGCAAAAAATTGGTCATACTGGAAATCTGCTCTAGAGAAAAGGATGAGAAGAAAAAGGGATAATAAGTTGGCAAAATTAGAGTTTAATATGTTTCACTGTTGAGCTGTTATTTATCTGGCAAATATCTCCTTGTTCTATGCTTGCTACATTGATGTCCATGTATGGTGGAAGTTCCATCTTATACAATTCGTTCACGACCTGTTATACCTGAGGAAACTTATTTAGCCATTGCTTACCTTGCAAGGAGTAGATTAAAGCAAGAAGGAACCACATCTTAAAGAGGTTTAGTCAGACACCCTTTAATCTCTGTGATTGTTTGTGTCATTTCAGAGGTATTGCCATCAGATCCGTCGGTCACAGGCACCCAAGTCCAGGTATATCACCAGTCAGATATTTTGGTTCAAATGGCATCTTTGTCAATGCTCTACTTGCAGCTTTACCATCATTTATAGTGGCATATGGTCCACCAGGTGCATAGAACATCCTGAGAAGGCAACATACAGATCTATAGGTCAAGTTTAAGAGAAGGCAAAACATGCAATCAAGGATGTTAGAAATAAGGACTTCAGCATTTATGTTGAGAGGATGACCACTAGATAAAACACCATTGGATCTCTGAAAGATGCAGGGCATTTGATGTGAGATGTTGAATACTGTTTTACCAAAATTTGTGTACGAACCAACCATTTAGGAACTTGGATTATCCAACCAAATGGATAGGATCCATCAAATTTTTAAAACAAAAATCCATACCTACAGAATGGAAGTTATTAATAAATGAATTATCTAAAAAATTAATGTTATTAGCTCTAAGGCCATGGAAAGATTGGGTGGGTTTCAGAAAGTTTAGGATATTTTAGCATTGGGGATTCTATTGTTATGTTTTAGTAAGACTAAAACCTTAAATTGGGAGGAACGTTTGTAAGTTTCAGGTCATTTCTATTGAACTCAAAGGAAGAAAGAAAGCAAATGGAACAAGTCAAATGATGATGATAATTGAAAACTAGATCTCCTGATTGAAGATATTAAAATTTTGTATTTAGGAGGATGGAAGTCTATCAATAAATAATATCATAAAAAGGAAAGATTATTTTTTCAAAAGTATTATCATCTTCAAACAATAGATCATATATTTGATTTGATTTAATTATATTTTTATTTCTATTTTTTTTGTACTTGATCCTTGCTAGAACATTATAATCTCTTATCGTAGAATGGATAAATTGAGTTTTTCCTTATTTTTTGAATAGAATTATTCAAGGACCTTGGGGGATGTGTAAGACGTACGGAGATACGAGACTTTCATCATAGTAATTCGCTCAGTGAGCTAGAGTGAATCTAGTAATTATCTTTTATTTATTATCTTTCTTTCGTTTTCATCTATTAAGAAAATCGTGAGTACATGTTTATATCGGATTTGGTATAAAAGTCTTTGGTTTAGCCAAAATAATCTATAATCAAGATCAATTCATATCATAATTATATGAACTTGAGACAAGTTGCTATGTAGTAAAAGAGTACGATATGGAAGATATTTAATTTATATTTTATTTGAATAAATTTAATTAGTTTAGAGATATTTTTGTAAATTTCATAATTTTTAAGTTACTTAAGGAGAAAAAAAAAGGAAAGATTTTAAATTATAATTGTGATGAAAGATTATATATATTGATTGAAGATCTTAAAGATTTATATCTACAAGAATATAGAAGTCTATCAAAAAAGAAGAGAAGATTATTCTTCAAATAAAGTAAAAAAATTTATCTTATTCGAAGAAATGACAAATCATATATTTAATTTGATACAATTATAATTTTTATTTTTTTCTTATACTTGGACTTATCAAAAGGGCTAGGACAATGTTATGTCAAAGAATAGATCAGATCAGTAAATTGAGTACTTCCCATGTTAGTATAAGTGGTATGAAACTATAGTTGTTTACCGATGAAATTATCGCATTATGTGTGTGCGAGAAGGTGTGAGACTTCTTCGTCTTTGGAGTTTGCTCCTTGAGGTAAAGGTAGTTTATTTTTTATTTATTATATTTAAAATATTATCTTTCTTTCTTCTTTTTCTATTCTCTTTATTTAAAAGACACTTTTTAAGGTTAAAAATTATAAATATTTATATTTATTAGGATAAAAATTTATTAACAAAAGAATATTATTTATAAAAAAAATACTATTATTCAAATCAAGTCAAAATATTATCTTTCTTTAGGAAGGATCGATCATATATTTGATTTGATATAATTATATTTTTTTTTTACTTTTATTAAAAGGAGCATCATCGGAGAATAGATTGAGGTCTTTGAGTGTCATGCATATGGAGGTGAAATGTCTTAAAAAGATTGAAGTTTATTTATTATTTATAAATTTACTCCTCGAGCCATAATCTATTTCTTTTTTTAATATTACAAGACTCTCTCAAACCTTAGTTTGACTGACTGAATTTTTTTTCTTTTATTTTGATTTATTCAGATCAATATATAAATATTTCTACCACACTCGAGATCTCGCACTCCGGTGATAGCGATGGAGGACCCCGACAGACACCTGGTAGAGCGTCGTCGTGACGATCGCCAGCACCGTGAAGAAGGTGCCACCTCCCAAGCCTCCGCCACCGCCACCGCCTTCGCTCTCTCTCCCGTGCTCCCGAGCGGAGGCGGTGAGGAGTACGAAACGAATAGGAAATGAGGGTAACGTAAGTTGAGTTCCCTATTGCATCTTGTGATGGACGGCCGAGATGTGATCAAAAGAGGTATCGATTTCTATACCGTGCCTTTACAATCCCGTCCTGTCCGCGTCTATGTTGCGTTCATACCGTCGCGACGCGGAAGCATCCAGTTGGAGAAGGAGGACTCTCGATTTCTTGTCGCTACCCAATAGGATGTGGCCACGTCGTTGAGGGCATGTCATAATGCTTGTGATCCGCTGCTTTTAGGGTATGCTATCAGGTTCTTTAAAATACCCTTGTATCTGCTTCCAGTTGGAGGAGGACTCTCGATTTCTTGTCACTACCCAATAGGATGTGGCCACGTCGTTGAGGGCATGTCATAATGCTTGTGATCCGCTGCTTTTAGGGTATGCTATCAGGTTCTTTAAAATACCCTTGTATCCGGACTTTAGGGTATGCTATCAGGTTCTTTAAAATACCCTTGTATCTCGTCCGGATACAAGGGTATTTTAAAGCACAAATAATGTTTAGTTTACAAAGTATGTGACAAGTTCCAGTGAGATGATATTTGTAGAGTATGATTTCCGTCCCATGTGAATTCCACGTGCTGCCTTAAACCTGTTGTATAATTATTTTAAGATAAAAGCACATAAATCGGAAAAAAAAATTCCCTCTCTCCTTTTTTTTTAGCTTATCAGGAAAACAACACTTGAAAAGGGCTTCACTATTACCGGTCCCAAAAATAATGCAAGCTATGATCACCGTTAGCATTCACTTGATACAGCTGGAGAACACTGCAACAAATTATCAGTCAAAACTATTATTGTTCATTACAATATTACGAAAATGTTTGTAAAGCTTCTGAAAAATGAACTTAAATTCTTAGAATAACTACTATCACTATGCAGTCAAGCTGTTCACACAGTTTTTGCCAAACAACTTTCCATAGTCTCCGAGATCAAGGGTGCTCACTTCATCCCGACGCCAGAACCAGTCCTCGTACCGATACCATCTCATCAGACCTTCGTCTTCAATCATTCTCTTGCATGTGGTGCATGAGCTGCTTTGGCAATGAAAGAATTCTCGTATCCGTGAAGCTTTCTGAAGGATGGACTGGTCTAGTTCGGAACGAACCTGCTTCCGTCCAGAAGTTGCGAGGGCTTCAAGCAGAAGGCAGTGGGATATATTGAGCACCTCCAGATTATCCATGCGATTCAAGATATACAACAAGGCTTCCTTCGTAATTATCGAGCACCGCAGACTTAATACTTTCAGCTTTTGAAGATTTGTGGCAATGGCAGATGCAAAGTGCATGTCAAATGTACCCATAACCTTGAGTTGTGAGAAATTTTTGCAGCTCCTGCTTATTTCCTCCATTATGTATGGAGGATGGGCAATGCTGGGCATTGTAAGTGATTCTAGATTCTCCCATCTCCGGATAGCTTGGCATATTCCGACTTTCGTGATGCGGTTCCAAGCAGGCATAACTAGTCTTCTAAGATGAGGTGACCTGACAAAGTCATAGTAACAACACAAATTGAGGATGCTTCTTTAGCCATGTAAAAGTTAGGAAGGAAAAAATAAGCTATTCTTACAAGTTGAACCTTAATCACCCAAGTTGCAAATGAAGAACTTTATTGTGACTACTCAAAATATAAACCATTAAATGTGTTGTAAATCAAACAACAATATCTGATGATCTCCATGGATTGCTATCCTTCAATTTTAATAGAAATTACGAAAAAAAAATTGACCTAGAGAATTTGAAATTCACCACAGTTATGCATAACCAAAGGTAAAATCTACCCTAGAAGCTCCATGC